ATATGAATTTATACGCAATATTTTCCGTAAACCTAACGACACTTTGTTTGAAATTTGACGGTTCATTGCCGTTAGTGTTCATGAAGTGCCGTCCATAGAGATAATGTTATTTTTATGTGTAAAATCACTATGTCAATATGTTTACAACTGGATTAACTGGACGAGCTCATGATATTCGGTCAGTTTGATCAATTCAATTTGTCGATATGGGCATATAGTTTGTTTTAATACCGATTATAATTGCACAATTTACTGACAGGACACGATGTTCCCAACTTAGTATATTTTATTCTTGATTAAATGTTTTCAATTAAGTTAACATTGAATTATTAATATAAATTCTTACAGTAACATGCTCAATTAAATTAATTTAAAAGATCCCTCTTATTGACATTGACTATCACACGACACGGATGTGTTTGATGGATAAACCTCTTATACCTTATGGGAACGTCTGTTTTGAAGCACCGTAGGAACCGGTATCGCAATATTAGACTAGCAAGGGCCAATTTGATTTCAAATAGTGCGAAACGCATACCCACGCAATGTCGAGGTCCCGCACCAAACTGCAAATACGTGTACGGCTTAATCAAATGTTTTCTATCAGGCATAAATCTATCAGGATCATATTTGAAGGGATCTTGATAATTCAGGTCCGAATGGTGTATAGCGTGCACAGAGATCTCAATCTGTTGTCCAGCTTTTACAATAATACCGGTATCGCCTAATTTACAGTCTTGTGTACAATATCTAGCTAAGGGTATCGTTCCTGTATAGCGCCGTAAGGTTTCCGATATGACTCCCTCTAAATAGGGTAGTCGTGCCAATACGTGATCAGGGATTTCTCCCGTTTCCGAATCGATAGCGCCTTTTAACTCATCGTATAGTCGGCGCTGAATATCTTCATTGACAGCCATTTCATAGATACTGAACGCCAGCATTAATGCCGTTCCCCCATAGGTGGCCACAAGGAATAGGAATCCCTGTGCTATCATCTCGTTTTCCGCCAATTGTTTATCCCATGACCTCCTGTTCCCCACACTTGACAACCCGTCTGCTACTAGAATTATATTTTACATTTAATGTAGACATGATCATTTTAATAAGTATTTTATAACTGGGTAGTATAATATTATTAGGAATAAAGTACATTATTAAATATAAAAAGCTATATACTTTGTAAATGGTTAAAGGAATCAATTTTTAAAATATTTACTTCGATACTCTACAAAACTATTACCTGGTAAAGTGGTACTAGTATTACCTAGATTAGTAATATCCATTTCAGCATCCATTAATAGTTGAATGAAGTCATCAGGTTTTAAATCCGGATTTTGTCGTCTTTCCGAAATTATATGTCGAATGAAGTCCACGAAAAATTTGGTCGCTTTCGGATCCCTTTTGGGTAAAAATTGCTTGAACCGATTTGGCAATAACAATTGTCCAAGTTCTTTAAATGGAGTAACATGTAGCAAATCTTTTATCATCGAAACAAATACATTCATGTGAAGTTTGCTAGAGAATACACTGGTGGCCATTGCATTCATTGAAAACTGTCTACATACATCCAATAAATTGATCATGCCACTTTCATCTAATCTCGAGTACAGTTCCCCTAAACACTCCATAACCTTGGGCCTCATTTTTCGCACTTTTCCCGGACTGAACACCGGGCTAACTATTGCGCGAACGCGGTGCCAATCATCCCCGGTCAATTGTTTCAGATTTTTACTTGTTATTGCATTGTTAGACACGTTTAGCTTCGATCGATTCGGAAATAGATGAAAATCCTTAACTAATATAACTTTGATTAACTCCGGGTCCGAAATACGCAAAATAGGTGTTTTTCCAGAATAGTACCTTGTTAAATTATGTTTTCTATTAATATTATAATTAGTAATAATAATATAATTTCTAACTAACTTACCCATAAATATTTCCATATTTATTAAGCCATTTGAAGTCCAAGATGTATTTTCGACATTTAAATGCGCTGAGAAAATTTCCAAATATAAGTATTGGTCTAGGCCCATTTATACCTTGCTTGCTCCAAAAATTGAATCCATGAGCGTAAAATCTATTTATAATATTAAATATGTCATAAAACTAAAATATTTTAAAGTATAGATATCACGAATTTACAAGTAATTGTACAGGGCGATTATTACAAAAGTTGATACGATTGTTAATAATAGAAAGTCCATTTTCTAGATTTATTAAAATATAATTTAGTATATATAGATATTAACACTAAAAATTAAGTGATAAATATTAATTCTTACAAATAGTTGTCTTATTATAATTAATCAGTTATATTTTAAGTTTTAATAGAGTATGAATATAAAATTTTAATGTATATAAAATAAATAATATGGATAAATACACTACAATTTATTATTATAAAAGTTTTAAAGCTTAAACATTTTATGTAGGATTACTTATAAATTACAACAATAATAGATTCTTAGGATAAATTTCTAAACAATTTAAAACTGATTTGTCATAGGACATTTAGGACAAATTTTTGAAAAATTTAAAATTGATTTGTCATAGTACATTTAAAATAAGTTTCTAAACAATTTAAAATAAATTTTAAATAAAATTTTTAAGACGCTTTTCTATTTGCTTTTTTATTTATTAATCTTTGTAATGTATATTTTCTTAAATTATCCTATTAAACAAACTACTAGTATATAAGCATTAAATAAAAACATTACACACTCGTTCATACAGTATAGAAACTTTAAATTCAAAACCAATTAATTAATACTTTCTTAAATCTTATTCTTGATTAAATTTATCTAGGTCATAATGCCAATAAATTAGACATGACCATAATGTGATAAATGTGAGGTTTAGACATATTGGACGCCGCCGTCAACCACGAAGTTGGATCCGGTCACAAACGACGCCTCATCGGACGTCAAATACAACACGGCTTTTGCCACATCCAGGGGCTCACCCACCCGTCCTATCGGACAAATCTTGGCCCTCTCTGCGAATAATTCATCGGATTTTTCTTTAGTCACGTTACGACTGATTTCGACAAACTCGGACTTAACGGGACCGGGACTTTTACCGCAAAAATATAGAGAGTAACAAGCACATTAATTTTATATTAACCAATTACTAGTGAATATTAGCGAGTACATACTTGATAATGTTAGCCCGGATGCCTTTGGGGCCCAACTCGAGCGCTACGCACTTTGTGAACATATCCAGCGCCGCCTTTGACATTGAATACAGATAACTGAGCTGTTTCTATTATAAATTAAAGTTAAAATTATATTTAAACAGGATAATTCAATAACTATGCACGGCTACTAAAAGCATTAAACATTTTTTAAAAATAATTTTTTGTATACAAACATATTTAATGGCCATGCATATAAAAATAAATATAAATAAAATAAATGTTTTATAAATAAATACCGGTTTAAGTGCCGCAATGCTCGACACGTTAACGATATTACCCTTAGTTTTCTCTAAATGCTCGACACATAAGTGAGTCAACCATACGACTGACCGGAGGTTTGTGTTCATAATGAGCTCATACTTATCGAGTATATCCCCGTCCCATATGCTCGACACTATACCTCTACCCGCGTTGTTGACTAAAATGTCCAGCTTTTTGAACGTCTTGATAGTGTCGGCTACTAATCGGCGACAGTCGTCATCGTTGGTGACATCGGCCACCACTTCCAGGGCTTTATCACCGGTAGGCGACGCTTCAGCGCACTGTTTGGCCACAACAGACACCCTATCCTTCCTGAAATCGGTGACCACTACACGAGCTCCGAGTCGAGCGAACTCTACGGCAGTGACAGCACCGATGCCACCGCCGGAGCCGGTGATCAGCACTACTTTTCCCGTGAAATCTCTGGAAGTCGTCATGATTTTAGTCTAAACTATAAATGCCTTAAAATTTATGTGAATATAGAGTTTTGGTTAAAACAATAGTTTTTAAAATATGATAATGACTTTTAAATTTATTCTAGCACTAACAATATTTTCTAGAAAGTTCTGTAATGGTTTTCAAAATTCAATTTAAGGAGTAATAGGCAAAGATTTGTAAAATTTAAAAAAAACAATATTTATTCGTCAAGGTTATATTTTTTCAGCATTCTTCAGCAGTTTTAAAACTAGCGTTGTTTCTATGGGATATGTTTTTAGTTTAATTCCACCATGATTCTACTGTACTATATTATTACAAATATATTTATCTTATTTAAATTTAATTGCTTTATATACTTTATACTGAATTATATTCATCATAACATAATTGGTATTTAATTAATTTAAAACAATTAAATACATAGTAAATAATCAGAATCATACTAAAATCAATTAATCTTTATAATCCTTTTCGAATACTCAAATTAGTTTAATTGGTTATTTAATTGGTGAAACAATAACATGTTCATACAGTTTAGTTTAACAAAACAATTTAAAAGCATATAAAATAAAAGAAACAAAGTTACTGGATTATATTTAGTTTCAATTAGCTGACACAATACAATTATGACCTTTTCTCTATACCCACAAACACTTTGTCGGGAAATGTCAACCGGAAGGACCTTTTATGCCGAACGGGAACCTCCGTGTGAGCGGTCCTATAGAACCGGAAACGCCGTACAATGTGGGCGACGGCCGCCTTAACCTCGAGTAATGCGAATCGCATACCAATGCAATTGCGAGGCCCGGCCCCGAAGGGCAGGTATGTGTAGGGCTCAACCAAATGCCTATTATTCGACATAAATCTATCCGGGTTAAAATGCTCGGGGTCCGGGTAAAAGTCCGCACAGTGGTGTATGGAGTGTATAGGTATGTCCACCTGTTGTCCCGCTTTGATGGTAATCCCGGTGTCGCCTAATGTATAGTCTTGAGAGGCCAGTCGTGTCACCCGTTGGGACGTACTGTGCAATCGTAGGGTCTCCGATAGGACGGCGTCTAAATAGGGTAGTCGTGGCAACCGATCGTAAGGAATGTCTCCGGTGTCCGGATCGGTGGCATCCATGAGCTCGAGGTATAGGCGCTGTTGAGCGGACGGGTTAAGAGCTAATTCGTATGTCAGGAATGTTAGGGTAGACGCTGTGGAGTGATACCCGGCCACCAGAAACATAACCGCCTGTGCCAGCACCTCGTTTTCAGTTAGTTTTTTATTAAGGGGAACGGTAGGCGAAACATTGCTGTGAACATCCAGTTCCACTTCATCTACTTCTGAAAGAATTAGCAATTTTAAATGTAGCATGCTAATATTAAACATTATTATATAAAATACTATAATAAGTAGTGTGGCTATTTGTACCTTGGTCACCGTATTCACGATCAGTAGTGACAGTGCCGTCCACTCTATCAGTAGGTAGTTCCGCATCCATAAGCAGTTTCATAAAATCATGCCTTTCATCGTCCATTTGGCGCCGATTAGCCATAACCTCCCGAACCGTGTTTACGAAAAAATCTCGCGCACTCTGATCGCCCGTTCCCCACAATATCCATTTCGGCAATATTAGCCTGGACAAATTTTTGACCAACCCTGACTCTACCGCTTTATTTGCCATGGTAACAAACGGACTGACACGCTGACTATTATATGCATCAATATCTATGTCAAGAGTTACCCTGGCTATTAGGTCCATAGCGTAGGTGCCCATAGAGGTCAGTACGTCGAGCTGCGCATTATTCACGGCGCATGCGCTGTCCAAATGTTGCGCATAATCACTCAAACAGTGCGCAATCGTAGCGTACGTTTTACGTATCTTTCCGGTGCTGAATGTGGGCGACACTATCGCACGTATACGCCGCCAGTCGTCGCCACTCGTGTCCGACAAAAATTTTTGACTAATGGGGTGCCGACCGCTCATGGGTTTCAGTCGCCAGTCCGTGAATACGTGGAAATCCTTAACTAATATCTGTTTTATAAGCACAGGATCGGCTATAGTTAATATGGGGCTGTTTAATAGGTAGTATCTAGATAAAAATGGGATAAATGATCAAATACAGTCAATAATACTGTACCGTGCAAAACAAGATAATAGCATTAGGGACCATTCAATAAGTAGGAACGCAAAGTTTTATCTAAAAATTTACCCCCACCCTCTACAAGCCAATTGTACATAGAACTTTAACATTGTGTACATATGCTGACCTCCTCCCCACCCTTTGCGTACGTACTTATTGAATGAGCCCTCATCAGCATGAATTATCCCTAATTGAAATACCCGTAAAGTTTTCCATATCTTGATAACCAATTAATCTCTTGTATGGGTTGAGGGGTAGTAAAGAACTGTAGAAAATTACCGAATATTGGGATTGGTTTAGGGCCAGGGATGCCAAGTATGGACCAGTAGTTGAGGTTACGAGCTAAGTGTCTTTTTTGTTGTAAATTATTTATTAAATTAAACATAATGTTAAGTTATTTAGACGTATTTTAGCTTACCTATAAATTATAAACCCAATTGATATTAGCAACGTTGTCAATACAAAAATAATGTATAATGTCTCCATTTTAAGTTTAACATTTATTTTAAAATAATATTCTGTTGCTATTTAATGAACAAGGATGTATATTTAATAATATAATTTCTAAACCTTGAATATGCCAAATCATTATAAAAGCTAAAAGTAAAAACTGCTAATTATTATATTCATTTGAATTTAATATATTATTTTTTAAAATTCTTTATTAGTATGATTATATAATTATAATAAAATGTACAAAAATTTTAATTGAGTTAAATTATTTTTAAAATATTAATCATGTCCATTATTTATGATCCAGTCAGGTATATACCGTACTTAAATTTAAATGTTTATACTTAAATATTAATATTAGCAATATAATTATTATAGTCAAGATATAGAGGAAAATAAGCAAACTTCCAAGATTACTAAAACAATTCATACATGGTTGTCTAATTTGTCTAAAATTATACCAGCATTTGGTATAATATGCGCTATAACTGGTACGGTATTTATATATGAAAGTAATTTTGACATAAAATATAATTTTAATATTGTATTAAATTATACACAAGCTTGCACACTAAATTCATTGTTAACATTTATATCAAAATATTTGCAAGATGTACCGGTAATTGAAATACTGATAGTCAGGTAGGACAAATATATCTTATTTTAAAAAATTACCATCATTAATAAATTATTAATATTATAATAATACTTGATTTTATATATAAATATAAATCTATTAAAACCATGATAGGTTTTATTTCAATAATATTTAATATAACTAACTTCATTATAAGAAAACATTTTTTCCAACATAGATTTTTGGGTCAATTTTTAATTTTTAGCCTTCTCACTATATTAAACATGCGTAATATTACACCGTTGAGCAAGGAACTTTTTAAAATCTTATTTAAATTCAGTATTTGTATGGGATTGGGATTTGTGTTGCTTTATAATTCCTGTCGTATGTTACTCCTATCTGAAGTGGATTTAATAATGATGTCTACCCTGATATTTGTCACTGGATTCGCGTATTTTATGCTCAATGACCCGATTACCCGGGTACACATTGGCACAGGTTTATTGACCATGATTGGTGTGCTTTTGACATGTCGACCCCAATTTATATTTGGCATAAACTACACAGACCACCTTATTGATAATAATCAACGAATGCACGGTATTGCCGTAACATTAGCTTGCGCATTTGTATTTTCTCTTTCCAACATTTATCTACGCATGCTAAAATCAATTTCAATATCAATACCATGCACAGCAAGTTCAATTACGATAGTTATCATCAGTTGTATCTATCAAACAAACGTAGATAGATGGATCATGCCTACAGGAATAGTAACATGGTCTATTTTACTATCGCAAGCAATTTTGAGTTCAGTGGCTGCTTGGATAAGCGTATTAGGCACTCGCTACGTATCACCAGGGCCGTTATCAATAATTTATGGCTATTCAATCGTGTTGTCATTTGTCTGGGATATAACCATATTTGGCGAACGTATTATATGGACGTCAATAGTGGGCTCATGTCTGGTCATCACTGCTATAGTAGTCGTAGCGATGAATATTATACGACAGGAATCGCCCGAAAAGTTTCGGGAATTAATTTACGAGAAAATCTGCTGTTTCTGTAAACCTAATGATAATAATATAATTTAACTAGTTTAACCATTTATTTATATATTTTATTAATTTTTTGTTATTGACATTATTTAAAATCTTAAATAATTATTATGTTATTGAAATTATAGGATTCATTTAATTTTTAAAGAATTTTAAACATTTAACTTAAAGATTTATTATCAAATATTAAAATAAAATTCAATTTAATTTGGATTGTTTGTCATATACAGACTAGCTTGCTAATTTTTAATTTTAATTATCAGTCACATAAATGCAGGGTCGATAACCACACAGGTATATGGCATCAGTAATGTCAGTAATTTTAGCAGCATAATAAAATTATAAAAAAGCTTAGATTTTCTTAATCCAAATAAACATCACCCTTATCATGATTTAAAGCAATGTACATGCAAATATAAATAAATGTTCAATGTTTGTTTTTATTTGTTTTTATTTTGTAAAATTTACCAGAATAATTTTATTTGAGACTAAAATTTAAAATTAAAAATACCTTTAAATTTACATTACATTTCATTTTACTTATACAAACATGACTTGATATTTTTTACAGATATAGAATAATATAAATAATTCTCGCACAAAAAACATTTACAACCACTTATGTATACTAACTAGTAAATATACTTTTAATTGAGCATTGCAAAAATGGATAAAACTATTCAAACTGTACGAGGTGTAAAATTTCCCAAAATACCAGATTTATCTCTTAAATCCATTGAATTCGCGCTGAACTACCAGCCCGGACATGGCGATCGTATTTTAATGACATACCCCAGGTCGGGCACCCGTTGGACCTCATATATAGTGCTGTCTATTATGGGATTAACGGACATTAATGGCGATACTTATAAAAACCTATGGCTTGAGAGTAGCGGTTGGACACGACTTATGGACAGGCAATCGGTGACTAATGTGGACAGGGATGTTGGAAATTGTACTTTCTTGACCACTAATACTAGTTTCACATCCATGGCCTATAGTCCGGACGCAAAGTACTTAATAGTATTGCGAAATCCGAAAGACGTTTGCGTTTCGTATTATTATTTCGCGAAACATGTCTTTCAATCGGATCTCGATTTTCACGATTACTTTAAGCGGTGGATCACCGGAGAGGACGTCCCGTACGGCGACTACTTTGAGGCGATTCAGTCGTATTGGGAGCACCGGATGGATGGGAACTGTACTCTCATTACGTATGAGGAGATGTTAGCGAATCCGAGGGACAGTATTGTGAGAATCGCCTCATTCTTGGGCACCAAATACGTGGACCGACTGTACGACCGGTGCGATGAAGGGGACGGCATCGGTAGTAGTGGTGACACACTATTGGATCTCATAGAAAGGGAGTCCAGTTTTAAGGCTATGAAAAGTAGTCATCCCTCTGGAGATAAACACTTTCGTAAAGGAATTTCCGGCGACTGGAGGGCTGTTATGTCGAGAGATGAGAGCGATTTGATTGATGAGAAGGTTAGGGATGAGTGGATGGGAACGGGATTAGAGTCGTTGTGGGAACTGGAGATGAAGTGGTGATTGAAATAATAACTTCATTTTCTAGTGATTGATAACTACTGTATAATCAAGATTTTATAAAACCATGTGCATTTTAATGTAGTTATATTTCTAAATAATTTATTTACCCAATAAATTCAATATAATTAATAAAATTAATAGGCTAATAATTATTTTAATAAAACTACTAATTTGTGTATAAATGTATCATGATCATATGTGGACATAGCCCCCATCGCATACAAAGCAACTTCCGGCTATGAACTGGGCGTCGGGTGACGACAGGTATAGCACGGCGTTAGCGATGTCTATGGGTTCACCCACCCGTCCCACCGGTGTTTTCATAGCGATCTCATTATACTTGACACCGGACTCCTGTTTTGTAGACCCCATAGTCAATAGAAAGTTAGTCATCACAGCACCGGCACTATATTTATTTTAAAACAAAAATATTACACAAATTAAATGAGCCAGGTTTATTTAGCATTGATTATAGTATACCAAATAGAGTTGACTCGTACGCCATAGGGGGCTAACTCTAGTGCCGCACATTTGGTGAACATATCTATCGTACACTTTGCAGTACGATATAAGGGAAGTCTAGGTGCCTGTAAAAGTTTATTTTATTAAATTATAAAATTAGCTTGCTTTAAAAGTATTGATTATTTTAAAAACCGGTTTAATGGCCGCATTGCTCGATATGTTAACGATATTACCGCCTGTTTTAGTCAAATGTTGGGCACATAAGTGGGTTAACAGTACGACTGAACGCAGGTTCGTGTCCATACAGTCACCGTATTTGTGCATAATATCCGGGTCAGTGATGGTACTTAACACCCCTTTACCCGCGTTGTTGACCAATACGTCGAGTCGCGTGAATGTGTCGATTGTGGTGGCAATGAGTCGCCGACAGTCCTCTGAGACACTCATATCCGCCAACACTTCCAACGGTTTTATACCTTTAGGCGACACTTCCCGACACTGTTTGGCCACATCTGACACCCGCTGTGCGTCCCGACCGGTGACCACTACTTGCGCCCCGAGTCGGGCGAACTCGACGGCAGTTTGGGCACCGATACCACTGCTCGAGCCGGTGATCAGCACTACTTTACCCATGAAATCTCTCGAGTTACCCATTATATTAATAAATTAAAATAGTTTTGAGTTTATTGTATTATTTTGAACCAATGTTTTAATTTAATATGATTCTAGTTCACCACTAACTTAATGAGAAAAAAATTAACGTCTGAAAGTGGCTTATAAAAAAGTATTATATACTAGGTAAGTGCTAAAGAATTATGAAATAATATTTCAGTAATATATATACGGTGTTAGTTTGCAAATTTATTATTATAGCTTCATCATTTACAGTATATTTTTATTTATAGTTACAGTATAATTTTTAAATAATAAAATTATTTTGAATTCTTTTTACTTGAATAAAATTAAGAATTTACATTTATCAAGTTTAATTCATATTAATAATCAAATAACTTATCATGGAGAAGTCTATTGAAACCGTACATGGTGTAAACTTTCCAATATTCAACGGCGTTCACATTCAATCCATAGAATTTGCCCTGAACTACCAGCCCGGACATGGCGATCGCATATTAATGACATACCCTAAATCGGGCACCTGGTGGGCCACCTATATCGTCATGTCACTACTGGGCGGCAATGATCTCAATCATGTATTGACCAAAACATACGTGAATTTATGGCTTGAGGGCTGTGGACAGTCTCGCCATCAAGAGAGACAATTGGGTACCGGCGCGGACAGGGATGCCGACAAGTGTTGGTTTATATTGACAAACATGTGCTTCGCATCCCTGGCCTATAGTCCGGACGCAAAGTACTTAATAGTATTGCGAAATCCGAAAGACGTTTGCGTTTCGTATTATTATTACGCGAAAAGTGTCCTTCAATTGGATCCAGATTTTCACGATTTCTTTAAGATATGGATCACTGGAGAGGTTCCGTACGGCGACTACTTTGAGGCGATTAAGTCGTATTGGGAGCACCGGATGGATGGGAACTGTACTCTCATTACCTATGAAGAGATATTAGCGAATCCGAGCGACAGTATTGTGAGAATCGCCTCATTTCTGGGCACCAAATACGTGGACCGACTGTACGACCGGTGCGATGGAGGGGACGACACTACCGGTGAGATACTATTGGATAGTATAGTAAAGGCGTCTACTTTTGAAGCCATGAAAAGTAGTCATCAGTCAACTGAACACTTCCGGAAAGGTATTGCCGGCGACTGGAGGGCTGTTATGTCGAGAGATGAGAGCGATTTGATTGATGAGAGGGTTAGGGATGAGTGGATGGGAACAGGTTTGGAGTCTTTGTGGGAACAGGAGATGAAGTGGTGATTGAAATTATTTTTAAAAAGATTTTTTAAAGTAATAGATTTTTAATTAGATTTTATTATCAATAAAATATTTAATAACGTAAATATTATTTAATTTGTTTATTTTATATTAAATTTAAAATATTTAAAATAAATATTTTATATTTTTTTAAAACATAATTGACCCCGGTTATTTAAATGTATAATAATAAAATACCCAAATTAAATCAAATAAATATTTGACATACAGTAGTATTTAATGTAACATTAATCTGTCATATCTATTTTCTAGTGCCATTATTAAATTATTTGTGAACTTGATGTTTGTTATACCAGTAGCTATTTTCTAGTAAAATAAAAATAAAAATAAAAATGTTTTATCATGTTGTTTATTTAAATTTAAGTATATTTTGAAATCATTAAAATTGGAATTCAATAATATTTGCAAATCATTATCTTAATAAAATAACATTTAATAAAACATTTTATTTTTAATATGCCAGTAATATACAGTACATGTTCAATATTAATATCAATACACTTGTATAATATATATAAATACTATAAAGTTTTAACAAAAATTATTTTCAATTTATAAAATAAATTCTCAAATATTAAATGAATATTGTATATAATTTCGAGGGAAAGGTAGCCCTAATCACTGGCTCGAGTTCAGGTATAGGCGCCGCCACTGCTCTACTATTTGCCCGAAACGGTGCCCGCGTTGTCATCACTGGTCTCGACGGTCGAGACGTGCGTTCAGTCGCCGACGAGTGCGCCTCAGTATCACCGATAGGGTCGTCGGCTATACTCGAAGTGGTGGTAGACGTGCGCCGGGAGTCCGATATTAGAGCACTGGTCGCTGAAACCATTAATAGGTTTGGACGGATAGACGTGTTAGTGAACTGTGCCGGTATCCTTGACCTGACCCCCATAACTCATCCGGATTACGTCAAAAATCAATTGAATGTGCTTGATGTTAATTTAAATCCGTGCGTATTATTGACTCATTTATGCGCTAAATATTTGAAGTTAAGCTCCGGTAGTATAGTCATCATATCTAGTGTGGCCAGTGTACAACCCGTAAGTAGTAGTTTATAGTATTAATTAAGTGATTAATGTTTTTTGAGCTTGATACAAAATTAGGCCAAGAACCATTCAGCATATTGTATGTCAAAGGCTGCTCTCAATATGTTTACCAAATGTATGGCAATTGAATTGGCTGACCATGGTGTTCGTGTTAATGCCATATGGTATGCACATGATTAATTTACAAATTACATTGGTTAAATCTACTATTAAAATAATCAGAGATGTCCAAAATTTTTTAAATCGTCAAAATGGTGTTTTATAATATTAGCAAACTTATTTACTATTCAAAACACTAGTATTTTCTGATTTACAAGTGACTATGAATTTCATTTTAAATAGTAATATGACTTAAACATAATATATTATATTAAACACAAAATAATATTCAAATGATAGTAGTAAGAGTTTTTTTAAACATACATTAAAAATATTTGAGTAAATAAGTAATAGCCATAAATGATTAATAAACTAATATTCATGAGTTTTTGAATAAATGCTACTTTAATCCTTAATGCATTCTATAAACTATAAAATACTAGTGTTGTATAGACTTTGCTTAAATAGTAATAAATAGTAAATATATACATCACT